CGTCAGGAGAAAATGCCTCTAGAACATGGCCATATAGCCCGGAAAAACCTACAACAACCCAGACAAGAGTTCTTTCTTTCTCCAACTCTCAGAAGCTAAGCAGGATCAGCCATGAGGAGGACTTGGATGAGAGCCTGCCAAATACCCCAATTTAGAGGAAGACACTAGCAACGCGACTCCTTGGCCTAAGAAAACCCTATGGAATCCTTGGGGTCACCATACGTAAATTGAGAGGCAACACAAAGGTGCACAAACACATGCTTAATGTTTATCGAATACCAATGACAGCACGTATGTCTCTCTGTTTATAGTTGTCTAGCCTGTTGTACTGCAACCCATCACGTCAGGCCTAAGGTCAGGATATGAAGTTTCAGTTGTTCTTCTAAGGAAGCAAATATCGACAGGCCTTAGTCCTTCAGAGGAAAAGACAAACCAATAAGCACCCTGCTAAGCTCCCCCTCCCACCCCATTTCACAAAATTGCGTGCTCTTTAATCAGTTTCAAATACAATTAATCAAGTCACTGTGCCCACAAATCCAGACCCAGGTGAAGCAGGCTGTTCAACTGGTTGTACTAAACCAGATTTTCATCTAGATCAAATGGAACTGATAAGCAGTGTAGAGAGTGAATGGGCAAAGCGGAAGTTACAGCAATTCTCCCATAGGAAAAGAAAATATAATGTTTACAAATATTACATAAAAGATATAATAGTATTAATATTTTAAATAATTTTATTTAAAATTTAAAAAAAATTAAATAAATATTAAAATAAATAAAATATTATAGTATAATATATTGTATATACATATAATATTTATTATAATATTACTAGCTGTCTCCTGCCACGCGTTGCTGCGGTTCTATCTGTGTATATGTGCTTTATGTGTGTATATATGTATATATGTGTGCCTGTGTATATATGTATGTCTGTGTATGTATGTGTGGTTTTGCGCATGCGTTGTAATGTATTTTTGTTTTTTGGCTTTTTAGTCTCTTCTGCTGTGTTTTTCAGGGTTTTTTTATGAGTGATGGACATTTGGTTGTTGTAGGTTTTTTCGGACTACATGGCCGCTGTGAGTCACCCCTGGGCTGAGAACAGCGGTATATAAGCAAAGTAAATAAATAAATAAATGGTCTGGAGGCATTCTCTCCTGACATTCCGCCTGCATCTATGGCAAGCATCCTCAGAGGTAGTGAGATCTGTTGGAACTAGGGAAAAAGGTTTATATATCTGTGGAATGACCACGGTGGGACAAAGGACGCTTGTCTGCTGGAGCTAGGTGGGAATGTTTCAACTGACCAACTGATTAGCAACTGATGGCCTGCAGGGCTCTACTATGGTGATTCTCTGGTTGAAGTGTCGGCAGTGCCTTTCTGTTCCTTGACTCGTGTTTGGGCCATGTTGCGTTTGGTGGTCCCTATGTAGACTTGTCCACAGAGCACCTGATGAACCAACCTGGACACAGCATTTTATTTGAGAACACAGAAGTGCTGGACCACTCTCACAACCACCATGTCAGACTACACAGAGAAGCCATTGAAATCCACAAGCATGTGGACAATTTCAACAGAAAGGAGGAAACCATGAAATGAACAAAATCTGGCTACCAGTATTAAAAAACTCTAAAATTACAACAGCACAACAACAGAGAGGAAACAAACAAGGACATCTAATCACCTCTCAACAAAAGATTGCTCCAGGCACTGTCAGGCCATTATATGCTAATCAAGATGGTCAGTTGAAACATTCACACCTAGCTCCAGCAGACAAGAGTCCTTTGTCCCACCCAGTCACTCTCGTTGCAACGGTGCAGTAACGGTGAGGCCCTCGACCATATTTTAGTTCTTGTGGACCACTGGTGCGCCACGGACCACAGGTTGGGAAGCACTGCTTTAGTAGCACATATCCACATGTACTTATGCGAGGCAATTTGGTTTTCAGTTGTTAGACTGATAACCTGGTTGTCTCTGATCTGTTAGATTATGCCAATGCACAAAATACAGCAGTTCTTCAGATGTGCTTTTTTCTTCAGGGCCCAAAAATATCTCCTCTCCCATAAAACATCTTGTTTCTATATCATGCTCTCAAGAGACAAAAATAAAGGAGTCTTCGTTAAAAGAAACATATTTAGTTTACTCACAACCTTCATGTATTCATCATACAGGTACTTTGCCTATCAGTCCTGTTACAGATAGGTTTGAAGGAGTTTCTCTGTGCACAATAACACAGCCTGATAGTCTAATGGAGTCTGAGCAGTGAGCAGTCCCAGATCTGATCATGTGTGTTGGAGTTCAGCCTGTGATTGTGTCTAATGATCAAGGTACTCTGGATGTTGGGACTGGAAATGAGGTTCATGTATCTAATAATGTTTCTAATGATGAGGTTGCTATTGATGCAGAGAATGACAATGGGATTCCTGTTCCTGAAGGATATTGTGCCTGTTCTGAAGGGTGTTGTCATAGGCTTTCATGGCTGGAATCAATGGGCTGTTGTAGGTTTTTCAGGCTATATGGCCATGTTCTAGAAGCATTCTCTCCTGACGTTTTGCCTGCATCTATGGCAAGCATCCTCAGAGGTTGTGAGCTTTGTTGGAAACTAGGAAAATTGGGTTTATATATATATATATATATATATATATATCGTATTTATTTATTTACGACATTTATATGCTGCCCTTCTCACCCCGAAGGGAACTCAGAGCGGCTTACAAGATATATATACATCCAATAAATTATATTATTAGCATAGTACAATATCAGTATTATATATTACTATATTGAAATATACCATTATGCTGTAATATTATTAGTAATATTACATGTAATATAAAAATATAATTATAATATCATATTAGTAGTAGTAGATTATATTGTGTTACATAATAATAATATACATATTATATCTATATACAATATATATATTAATTATAGTTTACTTACATATATATATTAATGTCATATTAATTATAGCATTATAATATATATAATTATTATAATATACTTTACTTAATATCTTTATATATATATATAAATGTCACATTAATTATAGCATTATAACATAAATACTTGTTATAATATACTTTACTTACCTATCTTTATATATATATATTAATGTCATATTAATTACAATATTATAATTTGTATACTTGTTATAATATACTTTACTTACATATCTTTATATATATATATATTAATGTCACATTAATTATAGCATTATTATATATATAATTGTTATAATATACTTTACTTACATATATATATATATATTAATGTCATATTAGTTATAGAATTATAATATATATAATTGTTATAATATACTTTACTTACATATCTTTATATATATATATTAATGTCACATTAATTATAGCATTATAATATATATAATTGTTATACTATATTTTACTTACATATATATATCGTTATAATATACTTTACTTACATATCTTTATATATCTATCTATATATATATATGAATGTCACATTAATTATAGCATTATAATATATTTATTATAATATACTTTACTTACATATCTTTATATATATATATGAATGTCACATTAATTATAGCATTATAATATATATAATTGTTATACTATATTTTACTTACATATATATATACTTGTTATAATACACTTTACTTACATATTTTTATATATATATATATATGAATGTCACATTAATTATAGCATTATATATATAATTGTTATAATATACTTTACTTACATATCTTTATATATATATATATGAATGTCACATTAATTATAGCATTATAATATATATAATTATTATAATATACTTAATATAATATAATATATAATATATTATAATATAATATATTATATATATTATATATAATATAATATATTATAATATATTATATTATATATATAATATAATATACAATAATATGTTATAATATAATATAATATAATATATATATATATTCATATCACATTAATTTATACTTTCCTTACATATCTATCTACATATAAATATTAATGTCGTATTAATTATAGCATTATAATATATATGTTTATAATATACTTTCCTTACATATCTTTATATCTTTATATATATATATATATATATTCATGTCACATTAATTTATACTTTCCTTACATATCTATCTATATATATTAATATATTAATATCACATTAATTATAGCATTATAATATATATAATTGTTATAATATACTTTACTTACATATCTTTATAGATATATTAATGTCACATTAATTATAGCATTATAATATATGTTTATAATCTACTTTCCTTACATATCTTTATATATATATATATATATATATTCATGTCACATTAATTTATACTTTCCTTACATATCTATCTATCTATATCACATTAATTATAGCATTATAATATATATCATTGTTATAATATACTTTACTAACATATCTTTATATATATATTAATGTCACCTTAATTATAGCATTATAATATATATACTTGTTATAAAGTCAGAGGGCTTTAGAGGCTCCTTCTTTGGAAGCTTTTAAACAGAGGCTGGATGGCCATCTGTCAGGGGTGCTTTGAATGCAATATTCCTGCTTCTTGGCAGAATGGGGTTGGACTGGATGATGGCCCAGGAGGTCTCTTCCAACTCTTTGATTCTAGGATTCTATGATTCCCTGGCCTGGAGTGCCACAATCTGGTCTGCAGCCCCTCCCACAACCTCCAAAAACATAGACTCAAGGGAAAGCTGCATACCAAAACATACAGAGACCATACAGAGACCATACAGTAAGCAAACAGGATCATATCCAAAACTAATTACTCGTGGAGGCTGGAAGAAGGTTGCTATTTCCAACATTATTATTGTGGTGGGAGAGGGTCAGTCTGGATGCCCTCTGGGGGTGCCTCCCAGCCCTGTTGCCCGCAATGAGGCCCTCAAGGAGGCCTGCCTCCCCGCCCCCTCCTTCCAGGGACTACTTTTCCCTCCGCGCCGGGCCTTTCCCTCAGCGAGAGCCTTCCCAGGCCTGACCTTCTTGACGGCGGGCTGAAAGGCGAACTCCCCGGCCTCCTTGAGGTCCAGCCAGATCATCGGCATCCGCGGCACGGCCTCCATCCCGCCCTCCTCAGGCCTTCTCCACCGGCCAGGGAGAGCAATGAGAGGCCGGGCGGGACCACCCGAAGCTGAGGCCGAGGCGGCGGAGGGATACACCGAAGTGAGCTCAGCGCCGGACCCGCTTCCGGAAATAGCCGAGTCCAGCCGGATCCGCCACGCCCACCCTCTCACCGGAAGTGCCGCCGGGGCAGCTGGGAAATGGAGTTCCAGCGTTGGGAAAGGTTTGGGCCTACTTCCGCTGTGGGTCAGGGAGAGAGTACTGATTTGGGATGGAAATCTGTTCCTTCATATGGGTGTGTAAAATAATACCTTAATTGTACTGTTGTTATAACTAAAATATATAGAATAATTATGATATAGTTTACTTACATATCTTAATATATTAGTTATAGCATTGCAATAATTGTAATCAAGCATAATTAATCATAGCAGTATTATAATATATATAATTGTTTTGATATAGCTTTCTTACATGTCTTTATATATTATATATAAATGTTATATTAGTTATAGTATTGTAATATATATATTATTTATTTATCTATCGTGTCATCAGCAACCATTGTATCACAATTCTAACAGAGCAAAACAAACACACAGATTAAAAAGAAAAAGGAAAAAAAACACAGATTTTGCAAATTTGGTATTTGGTTAAATGTCCTTTGACCAGTATCTGGCCACTTGGAGTGCCTCTGGTGTTGCCGCAAGAAGGTCCTCCATTGTGCATGTGGCAGGGCTCAGGGTGCATTGCAGCAGGTGGTCAGTGGTTTCCTCTTCTCCACACTCGCATGTCGTGGATTCCACTTTGTAGCCCCATTTCTGAAGGTTGGCTCTGCATCTCGTGGTGCCAGAGCGCAGTCTGTTCAGCGCCTTCCAAGTCGCCCAGTCTTCTGTGTGCCCAGGGGGAAGTCTCTCATCTGGTATCACCCATGGATTGAGGTGCTGGGTTTGAGCCTGCCACTTTTGGACTCTCGCTTGCTGGGGTGTTCCAGTGAGTGTCTCTGTAGATCTTAGAAAACTATTTCTTGATTTAAGTCGTTGACATGCTGGGTGATACCCAAACAGGGGATGAGCTGGAGATGTCTCTGCCTTGGTCCTTTCACTGCTACTTCCCGGCGGATGTCAGGTGGTGCAATACCGGCTAAGCAGTGTAATTTCTCCAGTGGTGTAGGGCGCAGACACCCCGTGATAATGAGGCATGTCTCATTAAGAGCCACATCCACTGTTTTAGTGTGGTGAGATGTGTTCCACACTGGGCATGCATACTCAGCAGCAGAGTAGCATAGCGCAAGGGCAGATGTCTTCACTGTGTCTGGTTGTGATCCCCAGGTTGTGCCAGTCAGCTTTCGTATGATATTGTTTCTAGCGCCCACTTTTTGCTTGATAGTCAGGCAGTGCTTCTTGTAGGTCAGAGCACGGTCCAGAGTGACTCCCAGGTATTTGGGTGTGCTGCAATGCTCCAGTGGGATTCCTTCCCAGGTGACCTTCAGAGCTCGGGATGCTTGTCTGTTCTTAAGGTGAAAGGCACATGTCTGTGTTTTAGATGGATTAGGGATCAGCTGGTTTTCCCTGTAATAGGCAGTAAGAGCACCTAGAGCTTCGGAGAGCTTCTGTTCTACCGTCTCAAAGCTCCCTGCTTGGGCAGTAATGGCACGATCATCAGCATAGATGAAACTCTCTGTCCCTTCTGGCAGTGGCTGGTCATTTGTGTAGATGTTGAACATGGATGGAGCAAGCACGCTCCCCTGAGGCAGGCCGTTCTTCTGTTTCCGCCATCTGCTTCTCTGGCCCTGGAACTCAACAAAGAAGACTCCTGTTTTGTAGCAGGTTTCCTATGAGGCGGGTGAGGTGGTAGTCCTTTGTGATATTATACATTTTTCTCAGGAGGAGGCAGTATCATAGGCTGTTGGCAGGTCTATGAAGACCGCTCCTGTGATCTCCTGCCTTTCAAAGCCATCTTCTATGTGCTGAGTCAGGTTCAGGACTTGCGATGTGCAGCTTTTGCCTTTCCTGAAGCCAGCTTGCTGTGGGATCAGACAGGGGTCTATATTTTCCATAATTCTATGCAAAATAAGTCTCTCCAGAACTTTGTAGAGGTGGCACAACAAGGAGATTGGTCTGTAGCTTTTTGGGTCATTACGGTCTTTGCCTGGCTTCAAGATGGCGATGACTATAATTGTTATAGTATAGTTAATATATGTGTGTGTCTTAATATATATGTGCCTTATATTAATTATAATATATATAATTGTTTTGATATAGTTTACTTACATGTCTTTATATATATATATATATACCAATGCCATATTAATTATAGCATTTTAATAATAGATATAATAATATCTATTATAATATCTATTATATTATAATAATAAACATATATATGTCTTAATATATATGTGCCTTATATTAATTATAGCATTGTAATATATAATAGTTATAATATAGTTTGTTTACATATCTTAATATATATTCATATCTTCTATTATAGCATTATTATGATTTATATTGTTATAATATCATTAACTTACATGTATCTATATATGCCATATTAATTATAGCATTATTATAATAAACATAATTGTTAAACTATTTGGAATTGAACCAGACATGGCACACAGAACTCCCTTGACCAACAGAAAATACTGAAATATGTATATATTTACGACATTTATATGTCATCCTTCTCACCCTGAAGGGGACTCAGAGTGGCTTACAAGTAATATGTAAATACAATATACAATAAAGTTTGGTTCAATTCCATATTTGATGGAGTTCAGAATGCTCTTTGATTGTAGGTGAACTATAAATCCCAGCAACTATAATTCCCAAATGACAAAATCATAATTTTTTGAGTGATGGTCACTCCTTGTGTTGTGAGACGTTTTGTTGCCAAATTTGGTGTGATTTTGTTCATTGGTTCTTTTGTTTTTAAGGTACTTATTATGCACAGAGCATTTTTATATATATAGAAGACTAGCTGTTCCCTGCCATGCGTTGCTGTGGCCCAGTCTGTTGATCTGGAAAATAAAGTAATGAGAAAGTGCTGGTTTCTAATATATGTAATGACTTGATGCTTGTGGGTCAACAGTATTTCTTGCTCTTTCTTGGTCAGTGTTGATGTGGAGAGTGTCTGGTTTGCCTACTCTGGAACATGCAACATATCATTGTCCTTCTTTAGGGGTTCCTTTCAAATCTATGATACTATATGTGTGTGTGCGTGAATCATATCTATCTATCTATATCTATGGCTGGATGGCTCTTTGTTAGGAGGGCTTTGATTATGTTTTCTTGCCCTGGTGAAGGAAGTTGGACTGGATGGCCTTAAGTATTTTCTGTTGGTCATGGGGGTTCTGTGTGGGAAGTTTGCCCAAATCTATCATTGGGGTTTAGAATGCTCTTTGATTATAGTGAACTATAAATCCCAGTAACTACAACTCCCAAATGTCAAGGTCTATTTCCCCACAAACTCCACTTGTGTTCATATTTGGGCATTTGGAGTATCGTGCCAAATTTGGTCCAAATCCATCATTGTTTGAGTCCACAGTGCTTTCTGGATGTAGGTGAACTACAACTCCAAACTCAAGGTCAATGCCCACCAAACCCTTCCAGTATTTTCTGTTGGTCATGGGAGTTCTGTGTACCAAATTTGGTTCAATTCCATCATTGGTGGAGTTCAGAATGCTCTTTGATTGTAGGTGAACTATAAATCCCAGCAACTACAACTCCCAAATGACAAAATCATAATTTTGAGTGATGGTCACTCCTTGTGTTGTGAGACGTTTTGTTGCCAAATTTGGTGTGATTTCATTCATTGGTTCTTTTTAAGGTACTCATTAGGGTAATTATTATAAATAACTAGCTGTACCTGCCACACATTGCTGTGGCCAACCTTCCCTCTTCTCTCCTCTTTCTCTCCTTCCTTCCCTCCCTCTTCTTCCTTCCTTCTTTCTCTTCTTCCTTCTTTCCTCTTCCCTTCTCTTCTTCTCTTTCTTCTTCTCTTTTCTCCTTTCCTTCTTCTCCTCTTTCTCTACATCTTCCCCCTTCCTTCACTCCCTCTTTCCTTCCTTCTTTCCCTTTTTTCTTTCCTTCTCTCCTTCCTTCCTTCTCTAACTTTCCTTCCTTTCCCCTTTTTCTTTCCCTCCCTCTTTCTCTCCTTTCTTCCTTCTCTACCTCTTTCCTTCCTTCCTTCTCTCTTTGCTTCCATGCTTCCTTCTCCCTTTCCTTCTTTCTTTCCCGCCCTCTTTCTTTCTTTCTTTCTTTCTTTCTTTCTTTTTCTCCCCTTCCCTCCCCCTTCCTTCCTTTTTTCTGTATTGTCATGTAACTTTTCGGAGCTTTAAAGTCCTTTCTGCTGTTTTTTTCAGTGATTTTTTGAGTGAAGGACATACATTGGGTTCTTACTGTCTTGTGTCCAAAATTGGGGTCAATTCCCCCAGTGCTTTTTGAGTTCTGTTAATCCCACAAATGAACATTACATTTTTATTTATATAGATTATTGGCCAAGGCACCCAAACTAACTCCAGGGCATCCAAACTCTGATTCTGGACTTCAACGCCCAGAATCCCTGATCATTGACCAAAGCAGCAGAGGCTTCTGGGAGTTGAACTTGAAAACACATAGAAGAGTTTGGGAATCACAGTCGACTTTCTCATGGACTGTTTCCAAGGCAAGTGTCACCCACTCATCCTATATCTGTGTCCTATATTCCTGTTGAAATCTGTATTGTGATTTTGGAGGCAGTTCTTTAATCTGTTCTGGTGATTTTGGACCTTGATCTTAGGTATCTTCTTCTCTTCTCTTCTTCCTGATTGAGGGTCCTCTCCAAATAGAAGCCTGCTCCCCTCCTGAGCATCATTCAAGGAGTTTGTCGTCATGCGTGAGTGTTTTCGTGCTTTTCTCCTCCATTGCTGAGTCAGAGCACTGCGTTTGTCATGGTGGTGGGAGGGGAAGGCTTGCCACGCAGGCTTGTTATTGTTATTATTATTATTATTCCTCCCATGTGAGGCCCACGCAGCCGGTGGTGATGTGGCACAGACGGCTCTCAGGCCGGCAGATGGGCAAAGGAGCCCTTCCTGAAATCAATGAATGAACCATG